GCCTCCACGAAGCAGGCCGTAAAGTGCATTCTCGTGTATTATAACTGTGTAGATACATATATTTATCTCACTGTAGTATTAACTTTTTTTATAATAAATAGCACAATAACATTAATGTTTCTTATTACACGTTGGTTCTTTGCTAAAATATGTGCACACATTGGGACATATCATCGAATACAGCAAGCGTTATCGTTTGTTGAGAATGTTGACGAAAGTCCGAAATTTCGTTTGCACCTCCGGCATTTGCGCCAGTGTCTCCTCCATCATGTTCCTTAATTTCGCCAGATCTGGCATTTTCTCGCATGATTCGATATTTAACAGCTCCGTGAAAAATTGTTCCCAAGCAGCTTTCTTGGCGTACCTGCAACACAAAAACGATACGCAGCATTAAAGTTTCTTACGCGACAAATATGATTCTTCTGGATTAATCATATGCTTATTGGCCTTATTGTTACCTTGGTAATTTCGAGACGATAAACCAACGGCCGCCTATGTTAGATACTCTCATATAATTGCCAAACAGTAAACAATGACTGGTCGCCGCTAGACAATACAAATCAGTCTGATATGTCCATGGTCTTCCAGTTTGCATTTCAATGCAAGTGAAATCTTCCGTTTTTATAACTTGCGTAAACGTTGTATTTTCTGGTAACAGTTTCATGTCTATACTACATCCGAAATCTATCAACTGTATAGTTGGCCTAACATCTTGCGTAGGTCTGTTGAGAATTATAAAGCGATTATATAGAGATATTATAATAATTTAATATGTGACAGAGTTATCGATTATTTAAAAATTTTCATTCAGCTAATCTCTCTGTTCTTATGATGCTTTATATTACTAAATAAAAATGACTTGTATAAAATTAACATTAAAAACATCACGTTACATATTAAATAATTAATAACTGTATTGTTCATCTAATAGAAAAAGTTATTAGAAAAAGAGGTAATACTAACGGTCGCATTAACAAAAAATTATCTGGTTTTATGTCCCCGTGTATTATTTGACATTTATGTAAGTACTCCACAATTTGAAGCATCTCGATTGTGAAGAAAATAGTTAAAGTTTCCACCAGAGGCTTGCCAGTGGCAATTTTTATCTGATTCGTCACTGATAATAATGTTCCAAACTTAGAAAATTCTGAAACTAGTACACTTCCATTGTTGGCCACATATGCCATTGTCACATCCATAAAGCCGCGTAACTGAAAAGAATATTATCACAATGTTATGGAAGAATTGATTTGCTGATAAGTAAAAAAAATCATAAATATGAATAATGAATCAAGGTAAGAGCTACTATATCTGTATTATACTGTACCATATGTGGATTTGTAAGACGCGTTTTTATTTCTCGTACGATATAATATTCCCAAACCCAAGCGGGTCTTTGCGTTTTAAGAGCAACAGTCTCGCGTGTTTGCAAATTGACTGCTTTAAAAACTGTTCCATACATTCCTTTACCAAGGCACTTTCCCAAATCATACGCCTCGGTATCTGCACAATCACAAGCATAAATATTACAATGCGTTAATGCAAAAAATAAAAACTTGTAAATATATTTCAGTAACAATACGGTATGAATTGAATACTGACCGAGCGTAATCATGGTAGAAGGCACAAGCTCATTTAGATTGGTATCTATTCTTTTGTATCCATCTGCATGATGGGGTTGTGGAAACTTAATTTTTTTCAATAGGCCAGCTATTAAGTTCTTGTCGAATGGATTTATATCTCTCGATGGGAGCTCAAACATCTCTTCCTCCACTTGTTCCATAGGTTCGTGCTCCTCGCACTCCATGGTGTCAACTTTTTCTGAATTTTCCTCTTCATTGAGTTGTAAATTTATGGACTTTCTTAAATCGCAGTTATTCTGTATTTCAGATGTAATTTGATCAACATGTCGTTGTACTGTACGCGGACTTTGAGCGTGCACAGCTTGGATTTGTGCATATTGTTTCTGTTCGTAAGGTTGATTCACGGACAGCAGAGATTCATTGGATTCCTCTTCTACAACTTTATATATAGTTGCAAAGTTAAACAATTTTCATATTTTTCAATAAAATAAATAACTTTTACAAAATATTTAATCATTTACTAATAACTAGTAAACAAGTGGGTTTCAGAAACCATATCTTAAATACACACAATGCAAGAAATAAAAATATATTACACTCGTCACTAACAAAATTGTTATACATACTCGTATCCACAGGTTGTTCTTTAAAAGGAATCATATCTTCCCTCGTCAATGCAAAAGTCAATCCAGTCGATTTGGTGTAATTACTACTGTTCCCTGAACTGTTTGATACATATTCTCGTGTGGATTCCAATATTACGCTTAATTTATCATCGCCACCTTCGACGTTAGGTGCTTCTGCAACTCTGTTCAACATAAATAAAACTTAAATTAAATGTATCACCATGTACCCCAAAAAGTAAAAAACAGATTAATACATACGGTTGGGGCACAGTATTCTGACTTGAAAATTGTGAGTCATCTTTTATTCTGTATTCTGATGGCTTGAAATGATTAGTCATTGGCGTAGAGCTTGTTAATGGCGCGTTAAAGGCTTCTGTAAAACATGTCTCGTTAACGGTCGAGAGAGGAGTTATACCCAAGCTTTCGTCTATATAAAGATTATTCTCGTCTGATTTGGGCATCATATTTTCTTCTAGCGGGCCATTATAATCCACAACGATAGCGTTCTCTTTGTCTTCCGCGCTTTCAAGATATTTGATGTCTTTACGATTCATCCCAGGCAATTTAATATAGGGTAATTCGGGTGGCATTCTGTATGGTTTGTTCGTTTCAATGTCAGGATCGGTATAAGGAGGGAAATGTAACTGTTTCTGCGGTTCTATATTCTGCTGCAGCATCGGAGATTCTATTGATGGCGAATACTGTTGATAGCTGATATCATTGGGTAACATGTTACTGTAAACGGGATGCTGTATATGTTGCATATGTTGATGCACGTGTTGCGGTTGCTGAGAATGTAGAATATGTTTGTATAAATATGTTGTTAAAATATGAATGTAGAATATGATTGTGCGGAGGCTGATGATGATGATTATGTGGCGACTGGTGATGATGATTGTGTGGTGTCTGGTGATGATTGTGTGGCGACGGATGATGATTGTGCGGCGATTGGTGATGATTGTGTGGAGACTGATGATGATTGTGCGGAGGCTGGTGATGATGATTGTGCGGAGATTGGTGATGATGAATGTGCGGTTGATGATGCGGCATTTGACCGTGAGGTGATTGTAAATGTTGCGGATGTAATATAAGAATATAATATAATATAAGAATAGAATATAATATATTTTTAAACGGATGTACACACACACACACACACACACACACGCACGCACGCACGCACACACACACACACACACACACACACACACACACACGCACGCATATTATATTGTAAATATATATAAAAACATACTGTTCTAGGTATAATGCCTTCAGTCTGTGATTCATGTTCTCCTTCCATAGTACATGTCTTGCCAGAACCCTTCTGTCCATAAGCAGATACGCAAACATTATATCCTTCAAGCGATGATTCTACCAAAGGGCATAATTCTTCGAAAACACCTGCTTGCGAAGCATTCTGAGTAAATACTTTATCAAATGAAAATTCTTGTTTTGTTTCTCGTTGCTTTCCACTGCAGCTCATTGCATCTAATCCATCCGATTTATCTACTTCAATAGTACAATCGTCAGTGACTCTTATATTACACGACCTGTAACAAACAATATTTTCATTTAAATACACAAATCAAAATATCAAAACCTTGAATAAAATATATTTTTATTTATAATAATTGCTGAAAGAAACTCATGAAATTAAGAAAAGAATTAAGAAAATATATTATTAATTTTTTAATTTCCAAATTTGATCTTCTCAAAAACTTTATACAAAATTTTCTCTAATAATTGCAAAACAAATTTACTTACGCTTTCTTCTGCTCATTTTCTTTCGGCGTTAATGGACGCACTCGACAAAAGACTCTTACCTTAATTCATGGATTACCAATGAAACTGCAGTGCTGGTCTTTTTTATGGCACCCGTTTCTTTTGTTA